CAAAGATCTGCGGTGAAGGTCATAACTGGCACTGAGTCCTCTAGGGTCAGAGAAGGAAAAACAAAAGAATATTTAATGTGAGTTCAAGTTCATTCTTTTTGATTCTCATCTCTCTTTAAAAAAAAAAAAAAAAAAGCCTAACCCATTTAGAAAGCCCCGATTTAAAATTACTCACGGGTCTAGTAATATAACAGCATGTGGGTGAAACGGCACTTGTGGAGGCGATCAGAAAGACTAAATATGTCACATACATTCATTAAAAATATGTTGAAAGCATATACAGTACATATATATACTTGTGTGGGAGCAATTAATGTGGGCCTTGAGGCACTTAAAGTACGATGCCAATCTTCCCTTCCCGCCCGTGTATTTGAACAGGAAATATGCAAATTCAACTGTTTTAATGATGAAACCATTGACATTATTGGATTGAAAAGGAAAATTAAAGTAAAGGATGGACCAGAGTAATGTAATGTAATCATTATTACGTTTTGTTGTTTGTTTCTTTCTTTTTACTCTTCACATGCGGAAGAGCAAGGGGGGAAGGGAGGGGTGCAGGGAGGTTCTGGCTCCCCTGCCCGCCCTGGCCACACGTCCCCGGTGTATAGGCTTCTTATATCCACAGTACATGCCGTTGACTTCAATAACACATGAGTAGGAACGAAATTATGTTCACTTTGAAGTGCACTGACCGCATGGCCTCATTCCTTTGATGCTGGCAACCTTAAAAAGCATGCATACACCTTCTAGCAAAAGCTAATTACAGAACGCTGCCTTGAAAAGAAAAGGAGGGAAAATAAACTATTTGAGTTGGCACTTTGCAGATAGTGTCTCTGCAAATTAATTTGCTGCGAGCCATCCCCGCAGGAAGTGGTATGTGATAACAGCAGTCACCGAAGTTGTGGTTCGCCACCAGGATTGGGAGGGTGACATCAAAAAATATATTCCCATACAGTTATTGAAAATGGAGTTAGTAACGTAATCCAAGTTCCATGTTATTAAAGTAAGGTAATGTGACTATTTGTAATTACTTTTGGATTACTGCAATAGCAAATATGCCAAAGAATACAAAATTTAAAAATATAATAAACCATATTTTATATCTGTATACATCTCCATATCCCATAGACCTCAGAGTCTAGGCTTATGGTGCTGGTCCGGCTTGGCTGGTCATCCTGAAACCGCCAAGTGGCTCCTATCATAGTGGGTGCTCCTTGTTTGGTCTTGGGGGGCACAATACGTGAGGGGTTACTCTGGCCGGCGGCAAGGTAGTCGCTCTGTTCCTGGCAGGTCAGCCCACGTGGTCCAGCTCTCCTACATCCTCCACCCTAATGACCAGTCGCCCTATGCTTGGGCCCCTAGTGCTGGAACATGTGATCCTACATTTTCATAGCTTCATTGCCTGTGTGGAGTTTGCATGTTCTCCTCGTGCCTGCATGGGTTTTCTCCCAGTACCCCGGTTTCCTCCCACATTCCAAAAACATGCATGGTTGGTTTATGGAACACTATAAATTGTCCCAAGGCGTGCTTGTTAGTGTGAATGTTTTTTTTTCATCTATGTATGCCCTGCAATTGGCTGGCAACCAGTTCAGGGTGTACCCCGCTTACTGCCCACAGTAAGTTGGGATAGACTCGAACACGTCTGCGACTCTCGTGAGGATAAAGCAGTTCAGATAATGTATGATACAGATAGATACTGTAGATAGATATACAGACACGTATCATAAAATCTTGTGAATAACATGCACCCGTGCATAACACTCTTCTCCTCCCCACACGCACAGTCACCCTTAAAAAGGATTTTTTTTCTCTTTGTACTTGTGCCTGATTTGCTGGCATCCTTCCCCCCTCCCCTCCTTTTATTTTTAGTGCCAAAGATATTTTAATGATTTCCGACTAATTCTGGGCAGCTGAGTCCGAAAATGACATCTGTTTCTTTGAATTGACTCTAGAGATATTATTTTTGACAATTCATTGATTGCTCGACTTTTGTTCTCTGAAGTGAAACAAGCTTGTTTGATTACTGCCAATATTACCACATTTTCTGCCCTTTTGCTTGATTTTAACACGGAACAGAATTTGCATTTAGAAGGCTCTCTGTGACAACGATTGCCATCTTTTACGATATTGCATCACAAATGAAAGAATATGTGTTGACATGCATGAAAAGACAGATATAGCCTCAAAGTTGTAGCGATGCCATTTTATATTGCATGCTTTTTATTGCTTGTTCGAGATGTTTCTTGTATTGAGGGGTACGAATCAAGTTTATCCCCAAGCTTTGTGTACCCCATATTAAGCCACCATCCTGGGTGTCAATTCCCCAGCAGCTCCTCAAATGAAATTGCTGAGAGAATAATACAGTAATTGTTTTTTATGTTATTTTTTTCAACTCCAGGGATGAGTTTTTCTCATATAGATGGACCAGGAGATTTCTCTGAGGAACAATTCGTTTTGTGCACTGTACTGTTTCAGTGCATATCACACCATCACCAGTGCCATCTTATTCATGTTCCTTCATTCTTATTCAGTCCCATTTTCCAGATTAAAAAAAAGAAAGACCAGAAAGGTCTTCACTTTGAAAATTATGCACTTTACATCAAATCACATACATCCTTTGTGGATGGGATCCCACTGATCCTTTTCTGAGCTGCTCTGAAGCACAGCACTACTTTGTGTTCCCTTTCCAACACTGAAATTCTTGAAAGGATCTCCTCACATCCATTATCTTTAGTAGTCTGAAACCATAAAAATATTGTTTATTTTCCCCTAGTGCACTAAATAGGGTTCACACAAACTATGTTGTACCCCAAAAGTGATATCAAAGTTTCACTGTATTTTACTTTCTGTATTGGAAAAGCATGATAAGAAAACATAGAACCCCATATTCTACAGTATAACACACACGCACGCACGCATGCACACACACGCACACACACACACACACACACACACACACACACACACACACACACACACACGCACACACTTTATTTTACAAGTTGAGGTGAACAATGCAGGCAAACAATGTAAAGGCTTTTAAATGAGAAAATTTTGTGCTTGACATGGTTTGCTCCGGCAGTCTGTGTGGGTTGAAAGTGGCCAACAACAAAGGGAAAAAAAAACAAGAGTGTTACAACAATCCAGCCTCAGACAAAAGTGTGCATCAATTTTTTTCTATGTCTGCTGATAAGTGAAACAGTCAGGCTGACAATACAATGTACACGACATGATAGAAGGACACAGACATCAGGAGACATTTGATAGCAGAACAGAATCTGTGATAATATTTTGACATGTCTTGATGAACGTGATTCAAGCCGTTCCAAGAAAATATGTTCGGGAGATACATCAGAGTGTCGTTTTGGCTTCTTTTTGAATAATGTGTTGGCCTCCACGATTAAAAAAAACACTGTGCCATTTCAGGGGAAGTAGATTGACCATTTAAAAATTCAAAAAAAGGTTACCTTGTAAAGACTGGGCACAGACTAGTTTCTAGTGTTGTCTTTGCTTGTGTTTAGTGAGGAAAAAACTGGACGACCTGTTCGTCTTTCCAAGGAAGCGAGTGGTGGACCACAGCCTCGGGTGTTTGATTCATAAAAATGCCTTCGTTTTTGTTGTGCCCCTTTTGGTGCAGTAATCATTGTCGTATTGTTATGAACAGGTTTGGTTGATTTTAGCGTGTTTGTTGCATGCATCGTGAGTGACAGGGTGAAAGCAATGAAAGACCTTCTGGTGCTGTGTGTGTGTATGCAGTTGGGCTTATAAGGCTGACTCAGAAATTTCGAGAAGTTCTTTGTTGAACTCAATTCTGTCTTTGTCTTCATAACACCTTGAATCAAGTAGTCAGCACTGAAACTCACGCAGCGTTTTCTTTTTTGCTGTTGGCATTGTTCCGGTTCAGGTAACTGTGGTATGACTCACTTTTTTAGATACTTAGACCGTGGAGGTGTATCAGAAATTGTACATTTAGTTGAGACTTTGCCATCATAAAATATTTGCGCCAGATGAATATGTTCCAAGGACATTTGTTTAAATAAAAAAACATATCCTTCTTGCATACTTTTTTTTTTGTCACAACAGTCTGAAGCTAATTAGTTCTTCTATCAATTTGCCCTCTGTCTTTTAAGCCCAGATTCCTAAGATTTTTCAGTCTGTTAAAATTCATATTCTCATTGGTAATATGTTCTGTAATACATACACGTCACTTCCTGCAAGTTGTCAAACACAGTTCAATTAAAACGTAGGTTTGAATTATTCATTCTGAGTGTTTCTGAGCCAACTAGAAACTCGAGCCGTTGTAAGTGTAGTTACTCTAGCCACCACTAGGGTTACCGGAAGTGACATTTTAATAGCCAACCAACACGCTATACTATAGAAATACTGTACAATGTGCATGCGCTACACAACACAGTACATTCAATGGCAAGCGATGTAGAATTCAAAGTAGAGGATTTTTACACACAGGAGCCGTTGAAGCGCTCATTGTCAAAGCCTACATGTTTAAGATGATCAGGACTTCAGAGACATCAGTGGAAGAGAAAGTGAATGTGATGACTGTGACGTCACCGAGGAGCCTGGTTTAGAATCAACATAATACCGCATGGAGTGGATTGGAAATACAGACTGGTGTGTTTTTGTATCCCCTGTATCTTGATCGAGTAACCTCGACTCAGTCACGCAACAGCTTTAGAGACATCAACAGTTGGCCCCACTGTGCGTGTGGGATTCATAATTATGTGTTGGCCGTACATGAAATGTTACAACACGGGGACAATCTTGACCTGCATTTTCCATGCATGAAAATTCTAGATGTGTATCTTATGCACAGTAAATGGGGGTGTTTATAACACGCTGTGCAGAAGGCTTTGCCGTGTCAGGCAGCTTGCCATGTACGCTTAACAAGTACATTATTACAGTACGGGTGTTTTTTTTTTCCAACCGCTTAATTCATAATCACCATTCTTATGTGTCACAGATGCAGACAAATAACGTCTCACCTCTTGCCTGTGCCACTTTTCGAATGCACCAGGACCACCGGGGTTCTTCCTGCTGCTGCTGGGAGTTGAAGTCGCATTTGCCGAAGGAAAAATCGCTGGGGCGGGAGCTGGTTTCAGCCTGTGTTGAACATCACTCGTGTAACTGATGCTATTGTAAATGTTTGCTGAAGCACACCGGTTCAAAATGTTCAGTGCAGAGCTTGGAGTACTTAATTGGCAACCTCAGATTGTTTGTGATTAAACTGCTGTCTGCCAACAATCTAATCACTTTTTAATGACAGTGACAATGCATTGTAAAGGGGTTCAAGAGGTCTCAAGAAAAACATTTCAATTTTTGGTCTGTGACCTTTTATGAGGCAGAGATGAGTTATTCCCGGTGCAAGATGTTCAACTCATAGAGATGTCAATCCATCCATTATCCTCATGTGGGTCCCGGGCGTTCTGGGCGTTATCCCAGCTGTCTTGGGGCAGGAAACCCTGAACTGGTTGCCAGCCAATCACAGCTCATAGAGATTTCTTTCCCTCAAATTAATCAAAGTTTCCTTCCGTAATTACAGGTTCATATAAAAAAAAGCAATGTGAGTGTGTGCATTCCATTGTCAGCACTGTCAGTAAAGCCGCTGGGTGGCATCCATCCAGTGTGTGCAAGACTCATCTGCTTACCCAATACGCAATACACATCATCACATGCACATTTTCTTCATTGCCCGCTCAGTACTGTAACACACACGGACAGCTGGCTCAGGATAAAACCACAGTCACCGCAAGTGAAATGTGGCAGTGCTCATTCCCCGCAAGTGTAATGCCTGTTGACATGGATGCTTGGAGATTGGACATTGTCACGGGGCTGCACAAGGTGCACTGAGGCGACCTGCTATTTTATGTGCCCAAGCAAAATGTCAACATGCTGGCAGAGAACAAGTCTCCACTTTACACCTCAGGAACTTTAATATATTTTTCTTTTCGTGTCGGTCCACTAAGAATAGTCAAACATCAGGCCACTAAGCATCTTTTATGTCTTGCTCATAACTGAAAAGGTTTTTAAGAACGTTCACTGGGATACGATCTTCATTGTGAAATGGACAATTATACTTTTTTTTTTTGCTAATTATAAATCACAATAATGGTTTACCCAAATCATTACACCTTTAGAATATGTATCACTACATTTAGCATATTTATCACATGTACGCATTTATTACATGTTCACGGACACCTTGACAGTGGAGCAGTGATTCCCAATGAGGGTGGCGTAAGAAAGTATCTAATTTCACTTAAATTAGCTGATGACCAGTTCCGGGTAAATCTCGCCTCTTACCTAATGACAGCTGGGATAGGCTCCCACGACTCTCGTGAGAATAAGCAGTTTGGAGATTAATTGAATAATTACAAATATATTTTGATTGATGTATATCGTCCAGCAGTTTATAGTGACAGGTAGAACAATGGCTTCCTGTGAGTGTTCGTCCAGATTTCACAGTGATTAAGCCCATTTGTGAGTTACCTGAGACGAGACCATCATTATGGACAAAAATGTCACAAAAAGTATGCCAGTGTTCATACTTTTTGTGACATTTTTGTTTGATTGGATGCTGTGTCATTTTTATATCAGAATCAAAATCATCTTTATTGGGCAAGTATGTAGAACACACAAGGAATTTGCCTCCAGTAGTTCAGGCAATAATAAGCAACTACGATAAACAAGGACATGACAAATATTGTAAAATGAGTGCCTTGGGAAACACTGCAGTAGAGAGAATGGTCTTATTTCACAACGAAGCTTTCTCACAATGCAATTAGCTTCAAACTAAGCCGAGTGACAGTCTTTTGTATTATGTTTCATCATACAAAACATCTAACAATACAATACAATGCAACCACTATTTCAGAACTCTAAGTAGAAATCTGATGATCCTAAAGTAGCATTGACGAACTATGTTTTAATGATGACGGAAACATGGTTAAAATAATTGTGATGGACTGACAACTAACGGACTAGGCCGGTCAGAAATAATGGCGTCCTGATGAAGACAAACTGGCACACCGGCTACTGACGAATGACGGGCAAATTGCCCATTTCTGTTTTTCACTTGAAATTAATTTCATAATGTCCGTGCAAATATGTTTGCTCATTTGAAAAGTGAAAAGCTACAAACTAAAGGTGCTATGTCGAGTTGTTAAATACATCTAGATGGAAATACTATGAAATAAAAGCTAGAATAATGAACTGATATTCATATTTTGATCTGGAACCCAGATGTCTTCAATCAACAATAAAAACAAAGGAAGTGACCTTGCTGTTCCAATACTTTTGGAGGGGACTGTATGATCCTCAATCATGGTCATCTTACAACAGATTGCTCTTGTTTTGGTTCTGAATATGGAGATGGGATTCAGCTGCTGCTCAGTGGAGGAGCACATTCATTCTCGTGGGATACAAAGCAGTGGCCCGCTCCAAATCCTGAAAAGAAAATCCTCACTTTTAACAAAAAGCCTTGACGCAGTCATCGACAACACATACTGCATCACACTACTTCCTCGCACTGTCTGTGTAATACAAAATTGTTTCATCAAGAAACTAGCAGACAGCGCTCACCCACCTGCCTATGAATAAAATATTTAGTTTCAGGCAAACAAAATATGAAGGGCAGTTCTCATGTGTAAACATTGTCAAAAACTTCTGGAAAGGCTTCGAGCAAGCCTTTAGGTGTGCCTTTGTCTGAATGGACGAATCAGTCATCTCATAGAGTGATTAACTTTGTATGAAGGGAATCTTGTTTAAGATGAAGACAAGCCGGTGTGCGAATAACAACAGAACATATCGCCTTTGTCGAGTGTGTCTGCAGTTTGAGGGGGCTGGGAGGGAATCTTGTCACTGAATCAAAATAATGAGGATTGGCCAGGACCACAGTGACATTATGAGAAGGGAATTCTTTATTTACAAAATTAAAACTGTAGATGAGTTGCCACTGAACATAATGTCAAAGTGTTGAAAGCAGGCAATTACAGTTGGAGCAGTTGGAGATCCGCTTGATTGAAAAAGAGCTGTTGATTACAAAAAAAAATATATTGAATCACATCAGCTTGGAGGTAATGAACTGCATTGTTAAAAGTCGAGGTAGAATCAGCATACACTGTTTTGACTGATGTCATGTGACACAAGTTTGTACGAGTCACCACAGACTTGTAAGGTCAGTGTTGCCTGATGACGGTTCATCTCACAGAAAAAGGTAAGGGACACTGTTGACTACCATTGGAGCAGTCTCTGGATCATATTGTCTCTTAGAGTGAAAAGTTGACTTGTTTTATCAAGGTCAGCAAGACAACTGTGGTGTGAAAAATAACAGCCGTGGAAAAACTCAAAACAGATTTGTGACAATTGAAGTATGTGACAGTGTGAAACGTGGAACACATATGATGACATTTAAAAATCTAAAAGTAGCACGTACGACAGATCTTTCGAGGACACACCATCAACTATCCACATTTTCACTGGTATAATCCATGTCATCTTTCATCACCACAGTATAAAATTGTGTGAAACTTTTTTCATGATTTTTTTTCTCATTTATTCAGTGATACAAGCACTTTGAAACTAGGACTTCCAAGAGAAGAGATGCGGGGGATACATAAGTGCACAGGAAAATACACAGGAATTGTTCAACAGAAGAACTTTTATGCCTTGCGTTTGACCAAGGTTCCTTATTGAACATAATTTTTGCAGTATACATAAATCGATGAGCCTCCATTATCTCCGAAGAGTACAAGATGCTTGATTGTGTAACACAGCTCGTGTCACCCAACAAAAAATGCACAAAAGGAGTGTCGCCTTGAATATTTCACAAAGTTCACTCAATGATTTTCTTTCCAAAAATAGCATAAGTGAGTCTCAGTCTCTCTCTCTCTCTCTCTCTCTCTCTCACACACACACACACACACACACACACACACTTTCTATCTGCCTTTGCAGTGGGACCAGAGAGGTACCAACAGTGACTCACATTCTGTCAGAATGTGTTTTATCTACAGTCCTGCTGCATACACGTCACAATCCACGAGGTACACCAGTACAAGCGCAGGGGCCGCCGCGTCTCACTCTCTGTGAGTCAATGTCAGCTGCAAAACTTCCTTAAACCTTGAGGGCTTCGTGCACGCCCACCGCTGACAGCCGGCGGTTGATGTTTCGATATCTGCAGCGAAGAAGGTCACGATAAGTGGAGCGTAGGTCTCGATTGAAGAAAGCATAGATGAAGGGGTTCATTAGGGAGTTAGCGTAACCTAACCAGAGCAGCGTGCGCTCCAGCCAGATGGGCACACAGCTGCACACTACCCCACAGATAAAGGGCCTTGCAGTGGACAGGATGAAGAACGGCAGCCAACACACAGTGAAGACCCCCACAATAACCCCCAGAGTTGTGGCCGCTTTCTGCTCCCGTTTGAAAATGGAGATGTTTCTCCTTTCGCGGTTCAGCAGTCGGGAAAGGGCAACGCACTCCTCTGCCACACCAGGAGGCTTTAGGCCCTGCATTCGTAGCGCTTCATTAGTCACTGTTTCCAGGCGCTCTCGGCGAGAAAAGTCGGTGAAGCGGTGTTTGGCACCACTTTTGCGGGCTGCCCGGAAGATTTTATAATACATGAACAGCATTACCAGCATCGGGATGTAGAAGGCTACGGCTGTGGAATAGATGGTGTAGCCAAAGTCTTGGCTGATGAGGCACACGCCGGCTGTGTGGACATTTTTGGCCCAGCCACAGAATGGGGGCAAAGTGATGGATGCTGACACCAGCCACACGCCCAAGATCATCTTTGCCATCAGCTGACCATTTTGTCGCGCTGGGTAGGTTAGGGGCCGCGTAATCCCCAGGTACCTGTGAGGGGGACACAAAAACAGCATTACAAATTGACCGGAAAGGACCTTCTGGGCACAATGGCTTGTCAATGCGGTGGTATCCTCAAATGTTTTGGTGCTATATACTCCATGTTTTGGACTCCGTATTATAGGCTAAAAGTTTCAGAGTTAATACAGAACAGAGATTGCAAAATAAAAAATACAGTAGATTGCAAACTGCAGAAAACATGGAATTTTGGTTGACCACATTTGAAAACAATCGACCCCGATGTTTGATTGATGTTTTGAAAGTTTTATTTAAAACATACATGACCACAAAAATGAAATACAAAAATTGTCAAGATAAATATCCAATTCTGACACACCACGTATTGCTGTTCAGAAATGCAGTAGGAAGTTAAATCTTATTCAATCCTCCCCATTCTCTACTACATTAAGAAATATCTAACAAGAAGTGAAATCTGAAATGTATAAATATTTAATACATGCACTTTATTATTTGCATAAT